TAGCCACTAAGTGTTCCAGTGCCATGCTGGAGGACCAGACTGCTGGAGGGTGAGCGCAAGCTCTTTTTCCCTTTGGCAGGGAACCACGCACCATGTGACTTTGGATGAATTCTTTTTCCTCCTGAGATCTCATTCTACTAACTGTAGGATAAGACTGGTTTTTTGTTTAATATTTATTTTTTAGTTATAGGTGGACACAATATCTTTATTTTATTTTTATGTGGTGCTGGGGATCAAACCCAGTGCCTCAGGCATCATAGTAGGCGAGCGCTCTACCTCTGAGCCACAGCCCCAACCCAAGACTGGTTTCTGAGACTTCTTATATCTTAGGAGTTTTCAGATGGGCAGGCAATGAAGGCTAAAACTGAACAATGCAGGAGTAAATCAGAATTCTTTTGTTTGCAGAGGCAAAAATCTGTTACAAAGGGGCACAAATTAAAAGGCACTATATTGGCTCATATAGGAGGAAGCCTAGAGATTGTGGGCTGCAGGGAGGGCTGGATCCAGGTGTTCCACTGATATTGTCAGCTCTTTCTTGCTCTCATTTCTCACCTCAACTTCCTTCTGTGTTGGCCTCATCCTCATCTCAGATATGGAATTTTTGGTAATGGGGATGATGAGCCCTATTATGTCTGACAGAGATTCTTCTAGTGCCGTAACTCTAAAAGAAAATGATGTCCTTTTGCACTTTCTAAAAGAAGCATCCCAGCAAAGATGTTGATTGAGCTCACTGCAATCATGTGTCTGTCTCTGTGGGTGGAAGAATGGGGTACGCTGCTATGACTGGCACCCCACCAAGGATGACATGGAGCAGGAAAGTCCTTCTCAAAGCAAAGAAACACTGATGTCAGAAGAGAGGTGAACAGAAATGAGCTGTGCAGTGGGAAATAACAGCAACCAGTGGCCACTTCAGAGGCCTTTAGAGCAGGGAAAGAGGAAGGGGGATCTTCCAGGCAATGTGGTATTTATGCACTTAGCTGTGCTTGGAGATGGGGCTGAGAACCATGAGTGAATGATTCTAGCCCCTGAGGAATGGCAGGACACACACCCAATGCCACCAGACTGTGGTCCCCAGGGGGGCTGTGTGCAGTCCAACTGTAAGCACCGTGAGAGGATCAGAGAGGCTCCTAAGGGGCCCTGGGTGGACAAGGACAGAGGTGTGAAGCAGCACATTAGACTTAAAATGTGGACAGGAAAAATCAAGAACAGATGTGAGGCAGGAGCTGTAGCAGTGGGGATGGATTAAGCAAGGATGAAGAAACACGATTTTTACTGTGGCAAAATATAAAATGAAAAAGAATAACACTGGGAAACTAGAACAAAATATAGGTTAATATACATTTCATCTTGAGATGGGAATAGACTTTTAAGCATTAAAGCAATGGGGGAAATCAGATCACAAAGAAAAAGCTTGCCATATGTGACAGAAAAAAGTCAAACATACATTTCAAAATATCATGAAGCTAAAAGGCAAATGGCAAACCAGAGGAAATATTTACAATATGAAGTTATTTATGATCGATAACGGCATACTTTCACAAAACACACAAAGACCCCAACAGAAAAACGGGCAAAGGACATGAATAGACAACTTCCAAAAGGGAACAATGGTATAGCTTCTTCATTCAAAACCCTGGGGCCTCCCCTCACTCCCACAGCCTGTCCCCACCTTTGGGATGCTCCACCTGGAATACAGGTGCTTGGCTCATTAATTCACAAAGGGGACACTGAGGCAAAGGCCTACGCAGAGGATGCTGGCATTAGATCAACCCCTCAGAGGCCCCGCATCTGGCAGCATCTTCCTCTAAAGCAAATGCCTTTTGTAAAACTCAACCACYGTGGTAGGATGGAGGAGAGGCCTTGTTTGGGTGCATTCCAGCCTGCACAGCCCTTGGCAGCCCCAGCGATCCATGAGGAGGGAGGACAGAGGCAGCTTCTGGCTCACATGCTGCCCCCTCCTCCCATCTGGAGGCAACACCATACCCAGGTGCCACTGTGCCCCAAACCAGTTGGTTCAGTGTGCCTCCAGGCCAGATGGACCCAGAGGGTCTGGGCTGAAACATAAGCAAGCTGTCACCACCCAAGAGACTGGGATTGGGAGCAGGGTGCCCATCACCCTTGCAAATGACTGACACTGGCCGTCTCCAGTTGGTGGCTTTGGTCCCACTGGTAATTATATAACTGTCCTGACTGAGGAGTGCCATATGGTGGCAAGGGCAGGGCTAGGTTCACATCTGTCTCTGGGAGAAGTGCTTCCACCTCTCTGAGCCTTGGCTCCCTTGGCTGGATGAGAGGAGAGACTGAGCTTCAAGAGCTGGCGCTCCACACTGCACACGGCAAAGAAAGGCGCCCACGTGGTGCAGGTGGCGAGGAGGGGCCCGGCACATGCCAGTTCCGACTCACTACCTCTCAGTCCACAAAATCCATGGTAGGAGGGGACCCCTGACAAGGAAACACTGGTACCTGCAGAGGCTTCAGCTGCTTCAACTCTGTTAGTCACACTGACACCTGAACATCAAGTGGACCCTCCTCACTGTCCCTCAACAGCAGGGACATCCATGCAGGTGTCACTGGTATGACCATGGCCTGCTGGAGGTCTCTGACTCACCCATTGCTTCTCAACAGAGCCGTCTCGAGTTCCCTGCTGCCACTCTGTCACCCAGAAGACCTGTGACGGCACCCCTCCAGTGTACTGTGGACATGTGAGAACAGGAAGGGCTGACAGATCCCATAAAAGGACAAGAGAGAAGGGGAGCTAATGTTGGGGCCCTCAGGCCTTTTAAAGGCTCCCAATCTGTCCTCATCTGTGCAGCATGCAGCTGACTCCACTCTGGTTTGAGTCACCATCACCTCTCACCTGGATTGTGGCACTAGCTCCTTACAGGTCTCCTAACCCCCACCCTATGCCCTGTGGTCTATGTTCAACGTAGCAGCTTGTAATGCTGTCAAAATAGAAGTCAGATCATGTATCTCCTGCTGAAAATGGTACCCATCTCACTGAGTTCTTACAATAGTCTAAGCTCTGGAAGGTCTGGTGCCTCTGTAACCTCTGATTTACTCTACTATTCCCAGCTTTGATCACTCTGCTGTTGCCAAACTGACTGCCTAGTGATCCTTCAACATACTAGACATGCTTCTGCCCCAGGACCTTTGCATTTGCTGTCACTTCTGCCTGAATACTTCCTCTAGACACTCGCATGCTCACTTGATCACCTTCTTCAAATCTCTGCTCAAATGTCCTTGTTTAAATTGCATCTTAGCTGGCTGTGGTGGTGTACGCCTGTAATCTGTGTCTTGGGAGGCTGAGGCAGGAGGATCTCAAGTTCAAGGCCAGCCTCAGCAACTTAGTAAGATCCTGTCCCAAAAGAAAATGAGAAGGGCTGGGGATGCAGCTCAGCGGTAGAGAGCCCCTGGGTTCAATCTTCAGTACCGCAAGATGATGAATTGCTGCATCTCCCTTTACCCTGACAAGATTCTCAGTTTCCCTTGTGCCGCTCTAATCTCCCCTGCCCCCAGAGCATTTCATGTAGCTAACTCTATAATTTACCTTGTGTGCTTATTGGTTGGCTAGAATGTAAGCTGCCAAGGGACAGGGACACGCATGGTCCCTGGTCACGGCAGGCACTAAGCTTGGACGGATAGAAGAGTGGGGCTGACTTCTGCCACTCTGTGACTTCCCCACTCTGCACTCCTTCCAGACAGTCCTCCCCAGGCCCCACCTCTGTGCTCTTTGGTGCTGCAATTTTTTTCCAACTGCTCCTCACCTGCTGCTCACTCTCAAGATGTAACTCCATCTGTTGGCATCCCCTTAGAAAGGATTTCAGACCTGAGCCATGTAAACATTCAGGGAAGTAGACAGAGGGGAAATGGAGGAATTAGGGGAGGGAAGAAGCCAGAGAAAGATCCAAGGAAAAGGAACCTGTATAGCTTTTCTCTCATACAGACCACTGGACATTAGACAACTCCACGGAGAAGCCCTGTGACTTCTACCCTTCTCCCACCAAGCAGCTTACCAGGCAGCCTCATCACTCTCTTGGGATATCGGTTTCCCAGAGAAATCTAGCGAATCTACACAGGGACATGACAGTAGGTCTGGCCAGCAGAGGAGGGGGCTGAACATGACAATGAGCATCCCATCACTGCAGGCCTTCAGCGGCTGGTTTTATTTCTGGCTCTTCTCCCACATCTTAGCAGGAAGGCCAGTTCCCAGCAGGAGTCCTGGGTTGGGGGCAGAATGAGCCAGCACCAGAGACCTCGGATATCCGGAAATAGAAGTGTCTAGGCAGGGTGAACGGAAACCAAGCCTGCCAGGGTGAGATATAGAGAATCTGAGGTGAGGAAGTGCTGTCACGGTCAGCAGGGAACTGGAGAAAAAAGCAGGTCTGCAGGATCACACAGGCTCCCAGGATTCGTGGGTAGCTCAGGTGAACATCCCATCCTGTTCTGCTTTAAAGCTGACAGATGCAGCTCTGAGTTGGCTTTGACCAGAGTGTTCATTCTGCATTCCAGCCCCCATTTCAGCAGGGGATGGTATCTCGGCCAAACCAAAGTCTGATTAGCTAGAGACCAGCATGTCATGGAGCCCTGGGAATATTAAATAATATTTACAAGGGATGACGTTGGGGGAATAATTACTGATGGTAAGAGGCAATCAACGGCAGGGAACTCCTCCACTGCTCAAGTGGTGAGAAATTAGATGAAATGAGGCTCAGAGCAGCGAGGGCTTGTCATGGGGACAGCAGAAGGGGTTGGAAAGTCACTACCTCTGCTGATTCTGTTAATAGGATAAACCAGCCTTGCAAATAAGAGCCAGACTCCGAGAGGCTGCATTGAGGTGATTTAAAAATCAGGCCAGGTCCTGCCAACAGCTTCATTTTCAGATGTGTTAGAACTGGAAAGAACTTCGAGATCAGCACACCCATAGTTCTGTTTCGAAGGCTTCTGCCTTCCAAAACTACTGAAACTATTAAGTAATAATTAATTTATTTTCACATTTTTTATTCATCAAAGGCACATACAGAACTGCCAACTGGAACATGCAAAAGACCTAAAATTGATATCACTCCAGCCCCAAACAAAAGAGACATACTGGGTTGTATTTTTGCCAGCCCAGCCACATTACTTTATAGTTTTCCTTTTGAAAAAAATTTAAAATAACACAAGGTCAACTTTTAAGTAGCCAAGGAAGCCTCGAGAACCTATATCATAAACCCCAAATCCAAGCCACCTCTCTTCTACATAAGGGGACGGAGGCCCAGCAAATACAATCAGTTTGCCCAAGATCACACAGCTGGCTGTCAGTAGAGCCAAGGTGAGAGCTGGGGAGCAGGGTAGAGCAGAAAACTGCCCTGGGCACACAGGAGCAGCTCAGGAGTAAACTGTAGCTATGATCACAGCAGCAGAGTGGACTATGGGCACCAGTGAGCATGGCTTGACTCTTGTCCACTATACTTACTAGCTGTGTAACCCTGGCAAAATGACCTAATTTCTCTGAACACATTTTCATATGACGAATGGGGATAACTATAGTTACCATATGATGTTGTAAGGATTTAATGAAATAACAGAACAGGCCACTTACTGTACGTGGCTAGTCTCATTTAACCTGTTTCAGTGTGTTTGTGTGTCAGGGGTATGTCTGAGTAGACAGAGGAATACTGACGAGCTTGGGGACCGAGGTCACAGGGTCCAACTTCCAAGTACCGCCCTGACAGTGCAGTAGGAGGGAAATTCTTCCCAACTGTAGGTACTACGCACAATGCTTGTTACTGCTCAGTAATGTCACTCAAAATGAGCATGCTTCAGAACCCAGGCCTCATCCAAACTTACTGCCTCTGAATCCCTGCAGGGTGAGATGGGAATTTGCACTTTTAGAAATTATTTTGGAGGTACAACTTATATACCATAATAGTCACCATTTTAAGATGTAGACTTTCAGTGGTTCTTAGCATACTGAATTCATAAGATTGTTACCACCATCAGTACCATCTAATTCCAGCACATTTTCATTGCCCCATAAAGAAACCCAAACCTATTAACCGTCATTTTCAATTCCCTATTCAACCAGTGATTGACGATCCATCTCTATGAACTTTTTCATCTCTATGGACATTTCAATGTGAATGGAATGGTCTTTGGATCTGCCCTCCTTCACTTAGCAGTTTTGAGGGCTCATCTGCGTTGAAGCATGTATTAGAACTTTATTCTCTGGAATTTGTACTTTTAACAAGCTCCCCAGATACTTCTGCTGAGTGGGCTTTTAGGAGGAAAATAATAGTAAATTCACATGAGGTGAAACTGCAGGATTTTACAAAGCTAAGGTGTGCCCGTCTCCAATGCTCACTAGGAACAGAGGTCACACTGGCTGCCTGCCCCTTCCAGGGGCAGGACAGGGTCTCCTGGGCACTCTGCAGGGAGATATACATCTATAGACAGCATCTTGGCTGCTCAGAAAGTGGGGAGATTATCTGTAAGAGAGATCACACAAGTGGATTAGTCTCGATTCAGACTTTAATGTACATTATGCTCTTGGAAAATCATCTCCAAGGAAACAAGAAAAACCGAAAGCCTTAAACAGCAGGAATTCTCATTCAGAAACCTGCTGTGAGCCCCAGCACTGGAGAGGATGGCACCCAGACTCAAGAGTACAACAGTGTGAGGTCAGAGTAGAGGGACTGTGTCCATCCAAAGGTAAAACTCTGCCCACATAGCACGATGGGCATGCCCTTGGGACTCCTGGGAAATCAGAAGCATCATTACTCTGATGACAGACTCCATAGCAGGGATGAAAGATTTAGGCCGACTAGATCATCTTCAGAGCTCAGGAAAAAAGCATGAAATGTCAACAGGGCCTAAGAAACCTGCATGGACAAAACCCTTTTTTTTTAATGGTAGAATCTCCAGGTCCTCAGAAACAGTCATGGTGGCTCTGGTAAGGAATGGGGACATCTGAGGGCTGCCACATCCCACTTTTGGGTCTGAGATCTCAGAGTAGAATGAATGGGAGGTGATACCAGCTGGGCCCCTGAGATCAGGAACCACATCAATTTCAGATTACCCACCAGGCCTCTGGACAGAAGCATGGGATTTAGGGAGAATAGCTAATGCTGATTACCTGTCACTCAATCTAATTGTCTTCTTTGTTACCCCTGCTGATACTGGGCACTTGAGGGCCCGCACTTTCTGTCAGGGACTCCCATTCAACCAGAGGCAGGCAGAAATTCTGGCTCAGCTCATGACCCTACATTTAACTCAAAAAAAAAAAAAAAAAAAAAAATCACAAACTGACATTTTGGAACCCTGGGGCTTCTTGTTTTCTAATCATCCTCTGGAACAAGCAGTTAGTTCTCATGGACCTTCAGTTCAATTTCTTCTCAACCGAAGGAATTATGCTGCTGTTGAAGCAGGTCTCTCCCAAAAGCTTTTAAAAGAGCCTATCAGGTTGGAACCAGGGCCAGGCTGACAGGGAACCCACAAATGTGCTTTCAGAATGTATATAGCCTCTTTGGCAATGAAGGAACTTATTTATTGGTGAAGGAGTGAATTTTGGCTCCATCTCTACAAAACCTGGTAGGATCACTGGCCCGGAGGGTTCCAGGATGGGATATGGTGAAGAAGAGACCAGGGCTGCAGCCAAATTGGAAGAGGCCTCTCATGGCTTGAACATTTGCAGAATTAGCCAGTCTCGATGCCCTCAGGGAGCTCCACCACTACTGGGGCACAGTCCTCGGGCTCTGAGGCAAAGTCCCACCGGAACTTCTTGGTCAGGTGGGCTTGGAACTTTTCAGCTTTCTTCCTCAGGGTGGCATCCACAGCAATGCTGCAAGCGGAGGAAAAGAAAACCTACAGAAAACAGAGGGTAAGTCACTTCTGAGAACAGAGGAGACTAGAAAGCTGTGGAAATTTCCTCCTGGTGCTCAGCTCTCTGGGGCGGTGGATCAGCTGCTGCTGGCACAGGCCCAGGACACCTGCTGTGCACCCCCATCCCACCAAGAAAGAAGGTCCAAACCCAGCTGAGTCGCTGAAACAGGACTGGAATGGAAAATTACTATGCTGGGCAGAGATGACCCACGGAGAGTAAGGCTATCAAGGCCATCACATGGCTCCACCCCTGTGGAGATCTATGAGGCACCTGGGCAGAAAATCAGAAGAGATAGTAGCTTCACTAGCATGTGTTAAGAAAGGCTTTGGGGGTCATGTAAGCCCTGGGATCCTATAAAGTCCCAGGCCTTAGCCAAGTGGTTAAACTGCTGCCATAATCTCCTTTGTGGGCCAGAGACTGCCAGTTTGAGGCTTCTAACCCCCTTAAAAGATATCTTTAATGTTCATTTTTAAAAAACATCATCATTGTTTAAATTGTGGAAAAATATACATACTTACCATTTAAACCTTTTTTTTTTTTTTGGGGGGGGGTACCAGGGATTAAACTCAGGGGCACTCAACCAATGAGCCACATCCCCAGCCCAATTTTTATATTTTATTAGAGACAGGGTCTCACTGAGTTACTTAGCGCCTTGCCATTGCTGAGGCTGGCTTTGAACTTGCAATCCTCCTGTCTCAGCCTCCCAAGCCGCTGGGATTACAGGCGTGTACCACCACGCCCGGCCATTTAAACCATTTTTAAATATAGAGTTCAGTGGTACCAAGTGGGGCCACAGTGTTGTACAACCATCACCACCACCCATTGCCAATCTTTTTCATCTTCCCTCAAACTCCGTACCCATTGAATGAGTACCCTGTTCTTTTCTTCCCTCAGTCCCTGGCAACCACTTTTACTCTCTGTCTCTATGACTATGACTATGCATGTCTCACATAAGAGGAATCGCAAGCATTTGTCCTTTTTTAAAAATTTTTTTTGTAGTGTAGATGAACAGAATGCCTTTATTTTTTTTAATATTTATTTTTTAGCTGTAGTTGGACACAACATCCTTATTTATTTATTTTTATGTGGTGCTGAGGATAACGCAGGGCCTCCCATGTGCTAGGCAAGCGCTCTACCACTGAACCACAACCTCAGCCCAGAATGCCTTTATTTGCTTATTTTTATGTGGTGCTGAGGATCGAACCCAGTGCCTCACGCATGCTAGGTAAGCGCTCTGTCACTGAGCTACAGCCCCAGCCCACATCTGTCCTTTTGTGATTGGCTTAGTTCACTTAGCATAATGTCTCTATGGTTCATCCATGTTAACACAATTGTCAAAAATTTTCTTTTCAAAACAATATTCATATCACATTTGTTAGTCTACTTGTCTACTGATGGCTACTTGGGCTATTCCTACCTTCTAGATATTGTGAATAAAATGCCATCAAAATGGCTGTATAAATACACTGTTGAGTCCCTACTCTCCCTACTTTCTTCTGAGTGTAGACCCAGAAGTGGAATTGTTGGATCATATGGTAATTCTATGTTTAATTTTTTGAGGAACTGCTACAATGTTTTCTAAGAGCATCTATACCACTTTGTATCTCTACTAGCAACACACAAGGGGTTCCAATTTTGCTACATTCTGGTCAACACCTACTACTTTGTTTTGTTTTTTATCAATAGCCACTATGGGTGTGGGATGGTATCTCACTGTAGTTTTTTTTTTTTTGGTGTGTGGGGGTTTACTAGGGATTGAAATCAGGGGCAATCCACCACTGAGACACATCTCCAGCCCTATTTTGAATTTCATTTAGAGAAAGGGTCTCAATGAGTTGCTTCGCACCTCACTGTTGCTGAGGCTGGCTTTGAACTCGCAAATCTCCTGCCTCAGCCTCCCCAGCCACTGGTATTACGGGTGTATGGCACTGTGCTCAGCCTCACTGTAGTTCTGATTTATATTTCTGTTTAGTGATGTTGGACATATTTTCATGTACTTATTGATCATTTGTATTTTTTTTTTGGCAAATACCTACTCAAATACCTACTCATTTTAAAAATTAGGTTTTTATTTTGTGTGTATGTTGAGTTATAGCAGTTCTTTATATATTCTAGATATTTGTCCCTTATTGCGATGTTCTCATGAACTCATTTTCATCTCATGCAAACATGGGTGGGGTAGCACAGCAATTTTCTCCACATCTGAAAACCCATTATCCTGGATCTCAATTCCTTTTAAGAATAACAACAAACTCACTATTCCTCTAACACTCTTACTACAGTATCCAATTGGCTCTTCACCATCCCTTGGGAATATACACTTGAATGTGTATTTTAAGGACATGGAGATGGAGAAGAGTTAAATGAAGGAGAAGAATTAAATATCCAGAAAGAAGAAATGGTTTTTCCCAGACTGTTATCTGCTACACTACAGGAGGACCACCCTGAGACATGGACATGAGGGCAAAAGCAGCTGTTAAATCCACATCATCTTCAGGCCACACAAGGACCCTGAGCTCCAGAGACCAGATTTGACACAGGCCAAAGGCATTCTCTGAAATGGATTCCAGGGACAATACGCTCCCACCAGCTTCTCCACCATTCTTCCTTCTGTTAGCAGGAGGGTGAGGCTCATTTTCAATGATCATTGTTTAGAGTCATTTTGTTGGAAGAGTAGCAACAGAAGCAGAGGCAGAAGTGATGGGCAGGAGGAGGGGGAAGGCACAAGGTACAGAATTTGGCTTCATTAACTCAGGAATTGACTAAACAGAGGAGAAGGAAGTGTGTCCACAACAAAGTACCAGATCAATAACTAATTAGAGGAGCTGTGTGATCTCAGTGGTGAGGGGGCAGTGGAGAAACCAGCAGTTGGCCTGTCTGAAGGCAGCTAATGGAGCCTGCCCTGAAGCATGGCTGAACTCTGGGGGAGAGCCTGGGAGGGACAACAGAGAAGCCTCCTTTCAAACTGCATTAGCTCTAGAGGCCCTGCACATACATGGATCTGTCTCCAGAGGTCATGGGGGGCCTGCTGGGCTGAATGAACAAAAGCCTCTTCCTGTTCCCCTTCCTTACACAGTAAATTGTATTATTCTCCCTGCAGCCCCTCTTCTCTAGCCATGTTGAGCAGCTGCCCAAACATACTCAATTGCCTCCTCTGTGCACCCATGCTTTTCTTCCCTCTGCTTTTTCACTCTTCYACCTTTTCTCTTTCTTCATCTTGTCAATTTCTCCTGACTCAAGCTCAGCCAGACACCACCTTCTTTGGTCTATCTTTCCAAGCCAATGGTGGAATTTGGTGCTCCTTGGCTCCCCCATATCAAGGGTATCTCAATCATGGCCTCTATCTCAGTAAAATAGGCCATTTACTATTGATCTTGCCCCAAAAGAGCAACTCAAAGCAGTGACCCTTTCTTTTCTTTTCTTTTTATTTATTTATTTAGTTATCAATGGATCTTTTATTTAATTAATTTATTTATATGCAGCACTGAGGATCGAACCCAGGGTCTCATGCATGTCAGGCAAGCACTGTACCATTGAGCCACGACTCCAGCCCAGCAGTGACCCCTTTCATATCTGCATTCCACACACCTGGCAGTGACATATAAAATAAAAGGGACCCATGAGATGTTTAATGAACAAAAGAATGAAGACAACCACAGGTTCAGGGAAAATCCATTTTTGGTTCTTTTGCGTAGTACCTAGCACCAAAATGAATGCTCAATAATTATGTGATGGTGCTGGAGAGAAAAGGAGGAGGCTTGTGTACCAGGCCCCTGAATGCCACTCGCTCTTAAACTAACCCCTGTGTCATGCCTTTTGTAAAGGCCAGGGTTGAAATGAACTCCTCCAGCCTCTCTTCCTTTAGTACAGAGCCTGAGCCTCCCTTATGGCATAGTATTTGCATCATCACAGTGTGTCCTAAACAGTAGGGAATGAATCCTAATTATCAATGTGTCTCCCATAGCACACCACCCAGGCTTGGCCAGGAGTTAGGGTCCACAGGATGCTCACAGTAAGAACGAAACACAGAATGCCCCAATTTGGCAATGGCCGGAAGTGAGAGGCTGGAACAAGCTGGGCTCACAGTCATCATCCACCCTCCCCACCCACCTTTCAAAGATGCTTGAGAGTAAAGTCAGCTAGAAGTGGGTACGACAGAAGGTTTTGGTCTAAAAAATAGGCTTCTAATTTGAAAAGTGCTTTGTCCTTTTTAAAGAACTTGTCACTTCAATCTTTACTACAAACCTAGTAGGTAGGAGGACAGACAATTACTATTCCCATTGTATGGACCAGGACACTAGGTATGCTGCACCATGCAGTGATAAGTGCTGAGCAAGACCCAGTCCACACAGGGATAGCTCAGCTGAGTTCTTTTCTCCCACCAAGACCTTCTTTTATATTGACAGAGACTAAATGCATCCCTGAAATTAAATTTTCAGCACTGCCCTGTTGGACACCTGTAAGATGATTCTGAAACTGTGTCCTCTGTGGGCCTCTAAGACCCAGAGCACAGTTTAGGTCTACTCTTTTGTTGTTGTTGTTCTGTTTTGTTTTACATCAGCTTTACTGAGGTATAATTTGCATATAATTAAACTCAACCATTGTTTAAGTGTTTAATTCATCTGGACAAATGTATATAACCATATAACCACCATATGATATATATCTAGTGTTTTCTTTTGGAATCAGTTCTGAGTCTGAAGACCAAAAAGGATGCATGTATCCATCAACACAATCAGAACAGTTTAGTCACTTCAAAAACCACCCTGGTGCTGCCCTCTGGCAGTTAAAACCTCCCCTCACTCCCAGCTCCTGGCATCTTCTTGATATTTTAAAAACATTTCAGAAAAGATGTTTAAGGAGTACTTCTTTTTCAAGCAATCATTTATCCTGATTCTTTTATTTTCAGAATAATTTCATGCTTTCTTTAGAAAATAGTCATGATCTGGCCATTTTATTCACTAAGGTGAAATCAAGTAAA